CCCCTCCCACACACACTGACAGTGGGTAGATGCATGTGGGTGGGGGGCGATGAGTTACTCTCTGAGTGTATATCCACACCGGGCAAGCTTGAAAAATATGCCTGCCCACGGTGGGAATTGAACCTACAACCTTTGGAATATTAGCCCAATGCTCTGCCAACTGAGTTATGCGGTCTGGTCGGTTCGAGTATGTGATATTTTGGAACTGAGTCTAGTTCCTTCGATATCGATCCAATCTAGTAATCATGATTTGCTATTTTGCTAACTAGATTACATCGATATCGAAGGAACTAGACTCACTTCCGAAATATCACATACTCGAACCGACCTGACCATGTAGCTCAGTTGGCAGAGCATTGGGCTAGTATTCCAAAGGTTGTAGGTTCGATTCCCACCGTGGCCAAGCATATTTTTCAAGCTTTCCCAGTGTGGATATACACTCAGAGTAAATCACAAGCATCAGAAGTGATGAGGTCGCTATATTTTGAAAGAGAATTTGCCCTCGGGTGCACTTGAAATCTTGATATGATTTACCTGATGACTTTCGTGTAACTTGTTTTGATGAAATATGTCGAATTTTCTGTTTATTGGAAAAAATAGAAGACTATATTTCATTCAAATGATAATATATTGGTTCATAAAGATGATCATATGAATCCCAGAATCAGTTCAATCGTACAGAATAAATTGTATATTTTAATATTTTATACACTGTTACTTACGGGAATTGAATTACAATGCCTCCAAAATTGTCTACCAAACATATTTTTAAAGTATTTTTGTAGGATTTTATATAGTGTTTGCACATGTGAATATTGTCCGACCGTGTTCCCTAGACCACCCCCCTGATATTGGTAGATGGTTTATGCTATTTCGGGGGGAGTAGTACCACAGAAGTACTGCTTTTGCTCATTACCTTCAAGCGCTTTCTCCTATTCCAAAAAAAGCACATTTTATACTTGGACAACTTTGATTTTTTCTCCAAATTCGCTACTTGTTTTGGCCTTGTTTTTGCATTGAAAAATGTGGGAAGTTGTCTATCCGACCTCTCGTGCTGTTGAGCTTGGCGCAGAAGACGACGAGGAAGAGAAATGTATGTTTCAAAGTAATTTTACAACTCCTATTGTTCGCCTATCACATGAACTTCAAAGTGATGGTAAGACAGTCTCATGTAAACTACTGGTGTTGGCATTTGAGAGGATATCTACAACGTTTATTGAAGCACATTTTTTAAACAATGAAAGCCAGATAGTTGGTCTGGTTTCAAGTGGAAATATGAAGGAAGAATGTACTATAACTAACAGTTTGCGACAGACAGCCAGTTCAGACAAGACTTGCTTTATGCATTCTGCAGATGGGTCACATGAAGTGTTGTTTTGTCAGAGTAAAATTGACGTTTCACCAGAAGCATGTCATAATTGGGCCAACGAGGTTTGTATTGACACCATGCTAATATATAATTGGCTGGTTTCGGTGCAGCGTGGAAAATTGCGCAACCAAGATATTGTAATTGGATGTGCAATTTTGATGCTTTCTATATATTCACTATTCATTTTTTTTTAAATCTTGGCGGCACAATTTCCATACATGCCAGGGAGGGTTTCGGTGAGCCAGGGTTTGTACCACAGAATAAAGATCAGTAACAGAAGGGCCACTCTTTTTATGCAAAAATATGCAGTTTACTGGCCAGAAGGCGGAGCAGCCAGCCAGTACAGTGTGTTTATTGGCCAGAAAATGTCATTGACTGGCTAGGAAAATGGCGGCCAACATGTGCAATGCAACATACGCAAGGACAGAAACTTCAAAGCTTCTAACGTAAGTGGCCCTTCTATATGGATCTTTATTCTATGGTTCGTACAAAACTTGAAAGTCCTTGAATGGAATTGACTCTTCCTGACATGTATGTACCCTAAGGGCTGGTGAGCATGTGTCCAACGTCAGAAATTTTGACACTTAAGTTGCAAAAAAATTAAACTATATATCCCTCGATTCTATTAGTTTGCTGCCAAATAGAGACTACTACATATAATGAAAGGAGTTAACATAATTTTATCACATGGTTACCATCTGTGCAATGGTGTTTAATGAAACCCAACTAAAGAGTAAATGTCTTGATGCAAGATATACCTATACAGTATAAATTATACATTGCTGTATTTTTTAGGTATTGTCCTGTATCAAAGCAGACAAAATTCTGATTTTATCAACATTGCCAGCCTCAGTTTGTTCATTGAATTGTGATGGTGACTCTGATCGCATGTTTGCATTGAAAACTGAGAGTTGGAAAACGAAGATTGATTGCAAATTTTTACCATCACCGAATATTGTTGCAAATCTTCCTGCCGCAGGTTGGTGATTGTTCACACTTGCATTTTTAACACCTGTAGTACAATCATAATTGCCACCATGCATCATAACCACCGCTGTCATGACCATCACCACCATCATCACCTGAAGCAAGGCTTGGATATAATAAGATATATAAAATATGTATGATTATAATTTTAATTAATATCTACCTTTTTATTTAGCTTTAACATACTGTCAAATATTCCACATTCCAGCAGTAATGTATGTTGGTGTTACTGCGACAGACAGTGTAGTAGATTCCTCAGTCATAGAGATTTTCAATGGATTACTTGAGTGTGAACCTTTGAAAGATCTTCCTAAGGTCAGTAGATGAGATTTTTGCCTGGTCAGGGGGTGTGCTATTTTTCATGATAAAGCAAAAAAGACAAAATGAGATACAGTAATTTGAGTAATAACATGATGATAAGTGAACTGTGAACAACAATTACAATTTAAATACAGTAGTTGATGGGTGGGCGGCACACATGACCGACACAACTTGGCAGTCGGCACCAGAGCACCCTCCTTACCAGATCATGTTGGATCCATCCCTGTCATACCTCACATGTTCATTACCTTTGTTGTCTTTCTCTAGCGATCAGAGACAGAGACAGCAGAATTCCTTAAATCAATGAAGATCATATGTCCTCATTTAGAAAGCAATATGTATATGTAAATGTATGTAGCTAACTCAAATTGAGATTCAAAACAATGCTCATTACTCAGAACATGTACTGTAAATTTGTAGGATATACAATTGCTTTGAAAATGAAGGAGAGACAATTCTGCATTTGTATGGTCAAGTTTGAATACAATATCACAGAATAGAGACTTTATACAAGAGGTTAGATATAAAATTATAAGTGGTGTGCAAGTTACGTCACCGTCCCCATGTTGGATGACATTGACAAAGGATTTTGCTTGTTTGCAATGCAAATATCATCCAACATGGTGAAAATCTCTTTGTCCTTTCCCATGGGAGTAACCGCACATCACCTATATTAGTTTTTGTGTACTCTTTTGCTTTATATAATTTTACTCTTTAGTTTTATTCTTTTGCTTTATCTATAGTCAAACCCCTCCACATGGACACAGAATAGGAAGGTATACTCTGTAACTTCTTATTCTGTGACATGGACACCTCTCTAAAATTTTCTGATCCTGATGGATGTGAATGATTGGAAGAGTTACGAATGTTCAGATGAGGGTTCATATACTCAGAACATTCATAACTCGTCTACTCATTCACATCCATCAAAAGAAGAAAATCGCACTAGAAATCGCAGCAAAAATTGCAAGTGTAAACTGGCCTTTACTGTCGTTCTAATTGAAGGGTTCCTCAAATATTGATTCAATACATTACCTCGAGCTGACCAATTCATTTCATTAAGTTCCTCGAAATATTCATACACTTCCTAGTATAATTGTAAACTTCCTGTTGAATAATTTGAATGCACCAATCACCTTTGTTGTTTGTGCAACTAACCAATCATAAATAGAAAGGAAGTGACCAGAAATGATCAAATTCTTGGAATTGGTTCTTTCACAGGAAGTGTATGAATATCTCGAGGAACTTGATGAAATGAATTGGTCAGCCTGAGGTAATGTATTGAATCAATATTTGAGGAACACTTCAATTGGAACGACAATAAGAGGGTGGCTGTATAGACCCATTGCACATGACGTCACAGCGCCGGTGACGATGCATCTGGAGGACAAATTAGCAATCTATGCATAATATAACTTCTGTAAACAAAGCAAATTTTGAAAAACTTTATAATAATTTTGTGTTAAAATGGTTAGTTTTTGCGCTGTATGTGGTTGTTGTACCCAAACAGATATTGTTAGGGAGCATCTGGAGGACACTCTAAGGATTTGTGACGTCAGTGCAATGGGTCTATAGGGAGATTTGATTGTATTTTCCTTTTACAATCTTATGATTTCTTTTTAGCAAACTTTGCTAACACCAGTTTTCGAAGTATGTTTTTCGAAGCAATGTTTTTCATATCTAACTCCCGTTTCATCTCGTTTATTTCTTTTTCTTTTTGATTTTCCAGTTGTTCCAGTTGTTTCACTCTCATTCTCAATCTTTTTATCAAAATATCTTTGGTTTCCACCATCATACGAGCTTCATCTCTTTGCCATCTCAGTTGTTCAGTCTCGCTCAGAAACCTTTCCTTATTCCTCAACTTCTCAACTCGCATCTCAGCTTTGCTTTGTGTTTTTAACTCGCGTAATTTGCGTCGAAGTTCTCCCTCGCGCTCCAGGGCAAATTGCTCCCCAGAAATAGCATTAGCACAATCGATACTCTTCTTTAAAACTAATTCTTTGTAGCGTTTTACATCTGAATCCTTTTTGCGCAAAAGTTTTGGTTTGGTTAACAATACGGGGTGACTATCACTAGCAAGATTTGGTCGAGAGGCTAATTTCGGGAAAGTTAAGGCGGAACAATTGTTTTCACGAATTACGTCGCTCATTTTTGAAGTGACAAGACTGCTACATTTTCCCCCAAAAAGATCCGAGTTCTTACTTCCAGATTTGTTGGTCAATACTGTCGCTAATGTCCCCGTGCTTGTTGGTAAGATAAGGTTTGAAGATGGCGAATAGTTCATCCTTTAAAAAACTGGTCAAAAATCCAAGTGTTCAGTTCATAGGTATCTCGTATATCTACTGCTCCAGTTACTACACGACGCTTATTAATGTAACGAAGGAAAATGGAGAAATTGTCAACTGTTAAAGTGTATTTGTATGTTTGGCTACCTACTGTAAAGTGTTTTAGCTTAACGAAAGCTTAACGGTTATTTGTTTGCTAATCTGTTGTTTAAAGAGTTCGTACAAAAGGATTAATTGTTAAGTTGTTACGGATTAAGCTAGTAAACATTTCCGTATCTGCAATGTTGAAAATTTTGTTTTTAGCGGTCCAACGAAGGTGCTGATATTTCATGCACGGACAGATTTTAACCAGCAATGATGGTCAAACACCGGTTATTTGACACAAGGGCACATCTGTTGGGGGGAGTGTTGCAGGGGGGGGGCTGACACCCCAACCCCAAAGTTTAGAAGTGGTATGATACCCATTACTTTTAATAAAATAGAAGGAGGGAGACATACAATACACCCTTTGGATAATTACGTCATTTGGCCTGGGAGCCTCGCTGTCATGAATCCGTGAGCCAATCACCTTGCGTAATTTACTAATGAGAGCGAGGCTCCAAGACCAAAAAGTATGTGTGACGTGTTATCGAAAGGCAACCCAGTGATACAACCTTGTACCCAGGGCCTTTGCGCGGTTCAGAGGCTCTGGTAAAGACCAGAGCCTCTGAACCGCACAATGGCCGTGGGTACAAGCAGGACACGGTAAAGTCTCCCCATTGGGGGCGGCCCAATGCCATACAGGGTAAAAATTTAAAACATAATACAAAATTATTTCCGTGTAGAACTGATGATTGCAAGCATTTTGATGGTGCGAGAATGGTGCATGTTGACCATTCGAAGCTTGGTGGATAAACGGATCAAACAAGCTCGTAATCTTGATTGGCTTACCAGAAAGACAGAAACTTACAAAATGGCCAATCAGGATGCAGGAAAATTTCGCGCCACCCCCGCGAGTGCGAGAAGGTTGTCTTGACAACAAAGTTTGATCCCAGCACAGACGTTTGGTATACAAAACAATTATATTTTGGCTGTGTTTTTATACTGGAAATATTTTAATAAATTTATAATTTTGGCATGTATTTGCCTGTTGAAGGTTGATATTAAAAGACTATGGCTAGTCAAGGCGACAAAACGACTGGAAAAGATGAAGGCGAAGTGAAATCTACGCCGTCAAACCAAGAGGTCGCACCGCCGTTGGTTTCTAGTACGAAAGGTACAAAGCTTTGTATTTTATATTTTCTACTGTTTTGTTTCCTTTCTTGGCGATATTTTATGAGAAAATGTTCTTGTTTAAGGCTTACTTCAATTGTCAAAGCAGGAAACTTCTTAGTTTGGCGAAAATTTGATCGTTGACGTTTCACTATAGACTGTAGTTGACTGCTCATATTTTATTATTGTTGAGAAACTATCCCTGTTTGGGACACCGTGGCGTGTATAAAATAATGAGAAACGGCTACAAGTCTTCAAAGATATGATAACCAAGCTTTTGAGATTTTTAAAGCCTATATTAATGTATTGTTATTTAAAATTGATGCCTGGTTTAGGGGCTGATTTAATGATTTATACATGGAGAGTTTTCAGCCTGGTTTCCCGGGGCTGAAATTTCAGCCCGGCCTAACTGATAAAATGCTATTAAAACACAGCAAGTGATTACATGACCAAAATTCCAGCCCGGACTGAGTTTGCCCGGGCTGAGTTTGCCCGGGCTGAGTTTGCCCGGGCTGAAACTCAGCCTGCCTACATGTAGTCCTGATGCAATTTCAGCTTGTTTAACCGGGCTGAAACTCGGCCTGGGCTGAAAACTCTCCATGTATAATTCAGCCCCTTAACTCGAGTTTTGGTTTGTATTCAACAGGCGAAGAGACTGGCAAACATCGGAAAAGGAGAGGACAGTTAGCACAAAAAGACTCTAGGCCTATCCAGCCTTCTGGCCCTGTTCAACCTGTAAGTTGTTGTACAAACTTTTATTTTCATTGTGTGTATATTTGGTGTTTATGAATCCTATTAATAATTAAAAGAAAAACGAAAAAGAAAAGTTTGAAAAATTGTCTTTTATCCATCCCTGTATTAATTATTAACTTCCTTAGCTGTGCATATTCTTGCATATAAAATACACCCTTCTGAAAAGTACAGTATGTCCATGGGTCCTTCCAGAAAAGATCCACACTCCCCCTACGGAGGAAATTTCTGCCGTCCGGAGGGGGAGGGGAGAAAAAATTGTTTCTGATAATAGTAAATGTATTAGGACATCCAAAGGGGGTAGGGGGGTTAACTTCCAATTTCCTCTGTGGGGGTGGTATGGATGTTTTTTGGAATGACCCAATTTGGCTAATATAAGGCCAATGAAAATTGATATCATGTTTCTCGTCCCCGCCCTCATGGGATTTATTTGCAACACAAAAATTTTTCATTATTCATTATTTTTTTAAAAATAGGCTTAACAAAACACCAAATTGATCTCCAGATCAAAGTCTTATTGCTGCATTCCGCAAGCGCAACTCAAATTGTATCTTTCTAAAGATATTACTTGCCAGAATGCCTCTATTTTTCATGTCAGCCCTGGTATATATAGAAATATACTGTAGTGTAGGACGTATTAAATTAAAATGAATTATACACTGATTTACTTCAGATTTTTATGGGGGGTTTTTCTGGGTCAAGGAAATTATTGACAAGCAGGAGGGTGGGAAAGGGGGCTATGGATCACGTTTCACAACGAAAAAAAAAGCCGTTTCACGATTCACGTGTCTTAAAAAAGTAATTTCGCAGAAAAAAACTAGATTCTCATAAAATAATATAATAATAATAGGTTTATTAAGACTATGTTTAATGCATTACCATGCATTAAACATAGTCTTAATAAACCTATTATTAGTACAGTATCTACGGTTTAAGTTCTCTCATTTCTCTACCTGTCAGTTAAAAACTACATCATAACTTACAAGTTTGAGTGCGTGTCCTCAGCGGCAGGAACCTTGTCCTCAGCGGCAGGAACCTTGTCCTCACCGGCAGGAACCTTGTCCTCACCACCAGGAACCTTGTCCTCACCACCAGGAACCTTGTCCTCACCACCAGGAACCTTGTCCTCACCACCAGGAACCTTGTCCTCACCACCAGGAACCTTGTCCTCACCACCAGGAACCTTGTCC